GTTTGGGTGGGTGATGCAAGAGCAAGTTTCAGGCAGCGCAGGGTGGGGCGACTTGGCGCAAGCCGCTTCCTCCTCTGGCAATACAGCCAGGGGCGTCAACCTCCCGTGGGGCCAGGGATTATGTCCGTTTCCAGGGGGGTTACCCCTGCTGCCGGCAAAGCGTGGAATTATGTGATGTAGTGGGATGCGATATCACACCATGTGATGTATTGCAATGCGATGTGTTGTGAAGTGAGGCAGGGTGGGAACAGATACAGCAGCCGGGTGACTTGTGCCTGTCACGTATCCCGCGCCACCTTAGACCACACGACATATGACCCCCCCACCCCGCTCTGCAAGCAGCACGGGGGCAACACACAGATCTGCGCACCCCCTGCCCGGGCCCCTCCCCCGCCCCGGGCTCGCCGTTGACCGGCCGTTGACCTGCTATCGAACAGCTTTTGACCAGCCATTCAACAGCAGATCAACTAGCTGGAGCGCGCGGCGGATCCAATCCACCGACAGGCTCCAACTGGACATCCCCCCAAAACAATCCCCCACCAAAATCCTCCACCTACATCACACCCCCACCCCGACCCTCACCCCCAGCCCTAACCCTGCACGCATCCCCCTAGGAAATGGACCAGGAGCCTGCGCCCCCACCTTAAACCCACCTTGTCCAGCACCATGTGCTTGAGCTTCTGGTAGTACACGGGGCCCATGAAGATGAACGCCTCTAGGGGCTCACCTGGGCAGCGGGGTGGGGGTGGGGGGGTCAGGGGTGGTCAGCAGGGAGGGCTTGCCACGGCCACAGGGCCGGAGACAACCGCTCTTCGCAGGCGCCGCGCGCGCGCGGAGAGCATTTGCAGAGGAGCACCCCTTGCGCAGGAGGCTGCCTCAATTTGGACCCCAGGGTGCCAGATTTCCACCGCACAGACACTGGTGCGGACCCCAGGGTGCCAGATTTCCACCGCACAGACACTGGTGCTGCTTTGTTCCCACCTGAAGAAAGATGCACCATGTTGCGTCAAGGGCCCCTACGTGAATTCGACACATCCCCACCTACCCCACCAACCCCACCCCCCCCTCACCCGTGATGCCTGACGTGAGGAAGTCTTTCCCGTGGTAGCTGTAGCCCGCCTCCACCAGCAGCGCGCTGATGTCATCGACCCTTGGGGGGTTCGTGGGGGGAGGGGGGTGGATCGGGGCCGTTCGGTGGCTGTCAGGTTGAGCGTGCGCGCGTGGCACAGGAGCCGGATTGGTTGGCAGCACGGGGTCGCGGGATGTGACACCAGGATGGGATTTGGGGGCGGGTTAGCAAGAGGATGCATGGAGGGACGCAAGGGGCTGCCCACGCCCCATTTTCAAGGCAGCAGGGCGGGCGGCTGGGCGCCTGCCGGCGGGGCGCGTCGTCCCCCCCACTCTCGCCCCGGTGGCCCCCCCTCGCCTCCTCCTCCTCTCACTTGCTGGCGAGGCCGCTGGGCTCCCCAAAGGCCGTGCCGTACTGCCACTGGCCGCTGAGCACCGCGGCCTTGGAGCCCAGCAGCTCAATGAGCTTGCCCACCTTGTTTTCAGACAGGGCATGTTGGGGGATTGGGAGTTGGGGATCTCTTGGGACGGCGGGTGGCAGCTGAGCGGGTGGCAGGTGCTGCGGCTGCGCGCAACCCATGCTCCGAGCGTTGTCGCATGGTTGCTGCCCCTGCGGTGCCTGGGACCAAGGACCCCGCTCCCTTGGCGCGGCTGTAGCGTCCCTGGCGACCCGGCGTCACCCATACTCACGCACACAAACGCACACAAGAGTCCCTCTCTCTCACACATACACGCTCACACACTCACATACACACGCACACATACGATACACATATTGCACACACACCTTTGAACACACAACCACAAAGACACACGGCAACCCCCACACACACAGCACGCCCCCACCGTCATGCGCGAGGGGAAGCCGTGGGGGTTCATGATGAGATCGGGGCAGATCCCCCTCTCCGAGAATGGGAAGTCCTGCTGCTGGATCACCACCCCCACCACGCCCTTCTGGCCGTGGCGCGACGAGAACTTGTCCCCCAGCTCGGGGCGGCGCGTGTGGCGGATCACCACCTTGAACACCTCCTGCTGCTCCTCGTTGGCTGGTTGGGTGGGTTTGGGGGGTGTGCGGGGGCGAGGGGGTCGGCTGGTGTG